TTCCTGCTTGTATCTGACAAAGGGAGTTTTTGCTCTTGGAAACGCACCCCCCTCCCAAATCTTGTTGGTCTCTGAGGTGCTACTGGACTTGAATCAAGCTCTTTGACTGCAGACCAACATGACTACTCTCTGAAACTTGGAGTCTTTGTCTCTCTACTGAGTGTCACATACCCATCAGGGTGATAAGAACCCATAGGAACAGAGGCCTCCCATTTAAAAGGGTCCAAATTAACACAGCTGAGTGAGTTAAGAATGACATTCTTGGTGCTGTATTTATGCTTCAATTATGGGCTGTTTTGACTCTTCTCTCTCCGCCATGTTTGTAATTCCCAGGGGGACAGAGGAGAACATGGGCCCCCTGGTCCTGCTGGCTTCCCTGGAGCTCCTGTAAGTATGGAGATTTTTAAAAACTCATTTCACTTGCTGCTGTTTCATACTTTTCTTCTTAGGGGGGTTGATGACCTCAGGCAGGGACCCTGAAGTAAATGTCTGGTAGCATCGTTTTTTTAATTTAATTTTTTATTAAATTTAAAGAACATAAAAATAACAGCTTTCATAAGCAGACAGTTATTTAAATTATAAAATACTAGTGAGATTATAACAGTGAGTAAAGGGGTAATACAAAGAAGCATGATGATTAATCAACATGTAAGTAGAGCACTGCACCCAAATTACAACTGTAACAAGTCAATAGGAAAGACATTATTTGGAACCTTGTCTATCGATACCATATAGTTTAACAGTGGGAACCAAATTGCTGGAAAACAAGAGCTTTGTTCTAAGTTGTTAACTTGAGTGCTGCGATAAGAGATTTTTTTCCCCCCATTACATAGAATTGGCATAATTTTTCAAACCATAGTGAAATAAATGGTGGTAATTTTTCTTTCCATTTAACGGCAATTGTTGCTCTGGCAGCTGCTAATAAAAAATCAATTAATGTTTTTGTAGACCAATGCAGTTCACAATCTTTCCATAGAGACAACAATATTAATTCTGGGTTTTCCTGCAAAAAGGAAAACATTTTTTAAAAATACAAAAAAAAAACCCGTTTGCCCTTCATACTGTTCCTTAGGGGCCCTGATCCCCAGGAACAGCATTTCAAGGAGTGTTTAGGGTTACAGGGTCTATGTCTGGGACCCTGGAGAGCTGCTGCCAGTCTGAGTAGACAATACTGATGGACCAAGGGTCTGATTCAGTATAAGGCAGCTTCATGTGTGAACCTGGCACAGATTTGGATCCCAGGTTCTTTGAGATTCTTGTGACATGTGGGTAATTAACACGTGGAATTCACTGCCACAGGAAGTGGTGGTGGGTTCAAGCATAGATAGCTTCAAGGGGGGGTTGAATAAATGTACGGAGCAGAGGTCCATTGTTGGCTGTTAGCCACAAGGTATAGATGGAACACTCTGGGGCCATGATGCTCTGTATTCCAGGTGCTTGAGGGGAAACAGTGGGAGGGCTTTTGGAGTTTTGGTCCTGCTGGTGGACCTCCTGATGGCACCTGGGCTTTGGCCACTGTGTGATACAGAGTGTTGGACTGGATGGGCCATTGGCCTGATCCAACATGGCTTCTCTTATATTCTTATGTCTGGAGCAGTGATGCTCTGTATTCTTGGTGCTTAGTGGGCAACAATGGGAGAACTTTTGGAGTTCTGGCCCCATTGGTGGACCTCCTGATGGCCCCTGGGCTTTGGCCATTGTGTGACACAGAGTGTGGGACTGGATGGGCCACTGGCCTGATCCAACAAGGCTTCGCTTATATTCTTATGTCTGGAGCAGTGATGCTCTGTATTCTTGGTGCTTAGTGGGCAACAATGGGAGGACTTTTGGAGTTCGGGCCCCATTGGTGGACCTCCTGATGGCCCCTGGGCTTTGGCCATTGTGTGACACAGAGTGTGGGACTGGATGGGCCATTGGCCTAATCCAACATAGGTTCTCTTGTGTTCTTATGATTGCCATTTGCCCTGATACAACTGCCATGAAAAACGGAGGCTTATCAGGTCTCATTATGCATTAAGTTTAAAACATTTAACAACTGGTTTTCATGTAGGGACAAAATGGAGAGCCTGGTGGAAAAGGAGAAAAAGGCCCTGCTGGTGAGCGAGGCGAGCCGGGCCCCGCCGGACCAGCAGGTCCCCTTGGAGGCCCCGGAGCACCTGTAAGTATTCAGTCATGGACGCTCTGCACTCCCACGCTCTCTTGTCTGTGACAGAATCCTTGTTCACAAGTTACCGTGAACAGACCTACAATCCGTGTACACTTAATTTTTCTTTATACTTGCCAAGATTTTAAAGGATCTAAATTCTTCTCCTGTGGTGGAGGAACTAATTTTCCTTCTTTCTGATTCAGCTCAGAGTTGTCTATATCTCTCTGTGTGTCCTAATTGTAATGGCCTTTGGCCTTATACAATGAATGTTTTGCTCGCTTTTCTTTTATACGTGCACTGTGTAATTCTCTTGTTATGTGCAGCGCATGTTCGGCTCAGTGTCTGATTTAAACCACAAGTTTATCCATGTAATGGTCCATGGTTTCATTTCCAAAGTGACCACACATCAGCTCTATCTTAGCAACAGGCAGACCCATGTACATGTAGGATACAAGCAGGGCTATAGGTTTTTTTTTCTTTTATCTCCAACAAGAAACCTTGTCCATACATCAACTGCAGGATTTTGTGTGCTTTCTAACTTGGTTCCCCCCCACCCCGCTAATTAATGTACAACATTCTCACATCCTTTCTAGGGTCCCTCTGGTCCACAAGGAACCAAAGGAGAGCGTGGAGGTCCAGGTCTTCCAGTGAGTATTACTTTTCACTCTGTCCTTAATAAATAGAAACATAGCGCAGGAAGGGACCTCGAGGGTCATCTAGACCAACCCCCTGTACAACACAGGAAATTTACAACTACCTCCACCCCCTACTCCCCCAGTGACCCCTGCTCTATGCCCAGAGGAAGGCAAAAAACCTCCAGGATCCCTGGTGAATCTGACCTGGTGGAAAATTCCTTACTGACTCCAAAGTGGCAATCGGCATTACCTTGGGCATATGAGAAAGGTCCACAAGCGTCGAGCACTGACTCATCCCTTCCTGCTCTCCCTCTCCTGATCTGCCTAAGTTAAGAATCAGCATTGCTGTCAGGTGGCCATTTAGCCTCTACTTACTATTGGGTGTTCCAGCTTCAACAGAGTGTAAAGTCTTATGGCCTTTACACTTCATTGTGATCTAAAAACAGCACACCAGGGTCCCGTTCACACTTGGGGGGAGGCATGGCTGTTTGCGCCAGCACAGTGTGTCCCACTGCAAATGCAATCAGACAGGACAGCAGTTTCTTTCCTCGCGCACGTTCCTGGCGCACTCCAACTATGCAAGAGGAGTGCACTAGGGCGATCACACGAAGAGAGTCAGTCAGCGGCCTGTTGCAAGCTGTTTGCTAGTGGACTTTAGGAGGTAGCTTTTTACTCTGCATCTTCAGCCACCTGCAACGGATGCACTACGCTGGCCAGATGTTGCTATGTGATTGCGCCCTTATAATCCGCCCGGCATTCGTGCTGCTTCCGCGGCAACTTCTGCATCTGATCGGAGCCCAGGACTCTCTAACATGGAAATAGATATGTTAAGAAAATGTTCTGAATAGTGTTCTCCAAGTTACCTACCATTGGGGGGTGGGGGGTCAGAAAAACTTTCACAACGAACATTCGTTTGACTTTTGCATTGCGAATATTAGCATCCAGGCTGTATTTCCAGATATTACAAAAAACTATTGCTATTTTTTGCAAAACAGATACATATTTTATGGAAGTTTCTAAATTCTGTCCCTGGTATATTTGTTAACTATTATGTTGGCATCATGTCCAATGTTTAATTTGATTGCTGCACAAAATATGTGGTTATTAAACCTTGTACTTTTTCCTACATTTTATTTTTCAGTGTTAAATGCTGTGATATTAATATTGTTCTTGTATTTCAGGGTCAGGCTGGCTTTCCTGGTGCTCGCGGCTTACCCGGTCCACCTGGCAACAATGTAAGACTTTTATCATACCATTTTATGTATCTATTCCTGATCCAGCACTCTCCTCATCCATCTACAATAGCTTCCTGGTGGGCATGTGAGGAAATGGCAAATGCAAAGCCCTGCCCCCTCCACTGCAGTGAATGGGGAAACTTGTTTTCAACTCTGTGCATTTCAGCTCATGCCCAATGCGGGTCCTGTGCATGTTTGCTCAGAAGTAAGTCCCACTTTATTCAGTGGCACATTCTCCCAAGCGTAGGACTGCAGCCATGCCATGCGGTGAATCATTAATCAGCTGGTTCGATTTTATACTCTATTGTAGGGCTTGACTAGGGCTTATCTTTGGGGGTTTTCTTTGCAAGTCCTAGACTGGCCAGACTTATGAGCAATAAATAACAGCATGGAAGCCATCTCTATGACAAAATGATGAACGGAAGGATCGGTTTCTACTTTCCCACACTGATAGATTCAGATAAAACCAGCATGTACCACTACTATATATTTTTTTCTTTTCTCCTTAGTTTCTATCATTTAGTTATTGTTCTCTCATGCATATGTGAAGTATGAATATATACTCACATGAACACCTAAATTCCCTCTCTCTCTCTTTTGCCTAGGCCAAACAAAATCAATTATTTTAATTGCATCGTTTTATAAAATGGACCTTCCCTCTTTGCTATATTTCAGTAGGGCTTCCCCCCGCTCCCATGCTGTATTTCTCATAAGTCGATCTTCAAACTACCAAATATTGATTTTTCAGGGCAACCCTGGACCACCTGGCCTTGCAGGTCCAGGAGGCAAAGACGGACCTCCTGGTCCCGCTGGGTCCACTGGCCCTGCTGGGTCCCCAGGAGGTGCTGGTCCAAAAGGGGAACCTGGCTCACCCGGTGAAAGAGGCCCAGCAGGTGCACGAGGAGAACCGGTAGGTATCCTTTGGGGCAATTTATACCTAAAACCTAACCTAAACAGCATGATAAAAAGTAGAGACATCACCCTGCCAACAAAAGTCCGCATGGTTAAAGCAATGGTCTTCCCAGTAGTCATGTATGGCTGCGAGAGTTGGACTATAAGGAAGGCCGAGCACCGAAGAATAGATTCTTTTGAACTATGGTGCTGGAGAAGACTCTTGAGAGTCCCTTGGACTACAAGAAGATGAAATCAGTCAATCCTAAAAGAAATCAACCCTGACTGTTCCCAGGAAGGCCAGATACTGAAGCCAAATACTTTGGCCACCAAATGAGAAGGGAGCACTCACTGGAGAAGACCCTGATGCTGGGAAAGACTGAAGGTCAAAGAAGACGGGGACGGCAAAGGATGAGATGGTTAGACAGTGTCATCGATGCAACGAACATGAAATTGAGCACACTTCAGAGGACGGCGGAAGTCCGGAAGGCCTGGCGGGAGCTGGTCCATGGGGTCGCGAAGAGTCAGACTCGACTGTGCGACTGAACAACAACAAATACCTAAAACAAGACGTTCAGTGAAATTACAGCTTTCCTGTAATTTCTCACTGCTGGGAATACAAAGTGGACCGGCATCGACTGCATGGTCTTCTGTTATCCAGCAAAGACCAATGCACTGACGAATTCCCATTGATGAATTCCATGACTGTGTTTGCATGACAACCTGACCTGGCTGGCTCAGGCTAGCCTGATCTCATCAGACCATGGATGCTTAGCAGGGTTGGCCCCAGTCAGTATTTGGATGGGAAACCACCACCCTATGGGGTAGCCATAAGTCTGTTGCGACTTGACGGCTCTTTCTACCAGTATTTGCATGACAAACTGTTGG